CAACTCCCTACTATTTACTTCCTGTGCCATTTGTTCAGTGCTGGGACCCTTTGTAGCAAAGGTGGCAGAAAGTCCTTTCAGGTGGTGCTTTACCTATACAAAGTTGCTTTGCACTCACCCCTGCATGAGCAAGTATTTATAAGCTCTTTCTGGAAAAGACCATGAGCTCTGCCAGGAGGCACCACTCACCCTAATGTCTTGTAATACAGGCTGCAATTTGGTCCTTGGGTTGGTGGTCCCATATCAGAATCAATTTAGCTAATTCCTGCAGGGTTTCACTCCAGCTTAAGTTGTATTAACTCTTGGCTAGCAGAGCCCATCACTGCTGTTACAGTTCTTCCTGTGTTCTAGCCCTCCTGGTTCCTTTTACAGCTAACTGTCTGCCAGCAAGTCTTTCATGGCAGATAGTGGCTGGCCTCTGTTCTTCTCTAGAAAGCCTGGGGGAAGTGTGTGTATGGCTCTTGAATTGCCCACTGGGCACCTGGCAATTGCCAGGCCTGGTTTAGTTAAAGCAAACTTGACTTCCAGGGCTCTGTTTCAGGACTTCAGACTCAAAACTGAGCACAAGACTAGATCAGATGCAGGCTAAGCGCAGTCTCCTTAGTTCTTCACAAGCTTTTTGAAACTCCAGACAACAGCATCAAAGGTCTGGTGTGAGGGTTGTCCTTAGTCAGGCCAGCCTGAAGTTCATGTTACCTCAAGGTCTACATGAACTTCTCCAAAGCCAGCTCCAGGACCACTCTGGCTCCCAATTCAGGTCATCTCTGATGTAGGGTGGGAGGCAGGACTGGGATACTAGGTGGACCATTTCCTATTCCCCATAGATCCCTAGGTTTCCCTTTTCTTGCTAGTATCCTAACTTGGTGCCTAAGCAATAGCAATAGTCCCTCCACATACAGAGCCCTAACTAACTCCCCCATTTACCATCCTTGTCTTCTCTAGGTAGCAAAGCAACAAAAAGAATCTGAGTCTACCCAGAAGGCTGAGAAGGAGGTGACACGCATGGTGGTTGTGATGATCTTCGCATACTGCATCTGCTGGGGCCCCTACGCTTTCTTTGCATGCTTTGCTACTGCCCACCCTGGCTATGCATTCCACCCACTTGTGGCCTCCATACCATCTTACTTTGCGAAAAGTGCCACTATCTACAACCCCATTATCTATGTCTTTATGAACCGACAGGTAAGCAAAAGCCTGAGCAGATCAAACTCAAAATGGCCCAGAAATCAGTGACGGTTCTTCCCTGGAATCAAGTCATCAATGAGAAAACCTTATGGAGAACCTGAGGGTGGGGGCTAAAGATAATCCTCCAAGAAATTGAGTGTGGAAAGGCTCTGCATGTGACCCATCCTGGCCAGACCTCCACTCAACCATTAGCTCTGGTATGCTTTTACTGTCTCCACCTGAGTCTAGCACTTAAGAATGTGTGGTGTACTGCAAGCTCTTCCGTTCTGATGATCCCACAACTACGGACAGGAATCTTGTAAAGGTGCTGTTAGAATTCAGATGTCCTAAGCACTCAGTGAGCACACAATGATCCTAGCTAGTTCTGTCCCTCTTGTGTTTAGATTCAAATCTAAATTTTTCCATTTTCCTTGACTTTGGAATTTTTTAAAATTCTTTATTAATTACACTTTATTCACTTTGTATCCCCCCTGTGGCTCCCTCCCTCCTCCTGTCCCAATCCCTCCCTTCCTCCACCCTCTGTATGCATACCCTTCCCCAAGTCCAGTGATAGGGGAGGTCTTCTTTTCCTTCCTTCTGATCCTAGTCAATTAGGTCTCATCAGGAGTGGCTGCATTGTCTTCTTCTGTGGCCTGGTAATGCTACTTCCCCCTCAGGGGGAGATAATCAAAGAGCAGGCCAATCAGTTTATGTCAGCGACAGTCCCTGTTCCTATTACATTGGAACCCACTTGGATACTGAACTGCCATAGACTACATCTGTGCAGAGGTCTTAGGTTATCTCCATGCATAGTCCTTGGTTGGAGTATCAGTCTCAGGAAAGACCCCTGTGCTCAGATTTTTTGGTTTTGTTGTTCTCCTTGTGGAGTTCCTGTCCTCTCCAGATCTTACTGTTTCCCACTTCTTTCATAAGATTCCCTGCACTCTGCCCAAAGATTGTCCATAAGTCTAAGCATCTGCATTGATAATCTGCAGGACAGAGCCTTTCAGAGGTCCTCTGTGTCAGGCTCCTGACTTGTTCCCTCTTTTCTCCTTCTTCTGATGTCCATCCTCTTTGCCTTTCTGGATAGGAATTGAGCATTTTAGTAAGAGTCCTCCCTCTTGATTAGTTTCTTTAGGTGTACAGATTTTATTAGGTCTATCCTATATTATATGTCTATATGAGTGAGTATAAACCATGTGCATCTTTCTGCTTCTGGGATAGCTCACTTTGGAATTTTTATCTCCTTAAAAGTTTAGCCTTTCTTGGATATACTAGCTAAGAGTTCAAGGGCTTTTATGAACTCATGAATTAGTTCAGAGTGTAGCTGAATTTAGCTACTTTGTGGGTTTTTCTTTTTCCCACTCTTTATCCCTCCCACCCCAGCTTCACCTCTTATCAATAGATAAAAGAGAAAGAAGGATAGATGGGAGAGAGATAGAGATCCCTGAATCTAATTTTTTTTCTTGTTTCTTCTTTGAGCATGACTACCACAAACTGCAACCAACCCCCTGAACCACCACCAAACACCAACATCAACTCTCAGGGCCCTAACATTTATATACCCTCTGAAAGTTCCCAGAATTCCAAACCTTACACAGTCACAGAAACTATCTGCAGCTGACAAAACCACACCTCTGCTACAGCACGAGACAAATCATAGTCAGCTGCTAGGAAGCAGCCCATATCCCCACATGTGGGTTAAAATGAAAGCATGTTCTTATAATATTTCTGTTTTTTTTTTTTTTAAATTCCAGAAGTCTCACTAAAAGCAAGAGCTTGCCTTACCCAAGGTCTTTTCTGATGGCAACCATCCTTAGCTGCCATATTGGACTTCGACACAATTTGTTCATGGCTCTTAGACCCTGCTAGTAGGTTATGGTGGACCTGATAAGTTTCATCACCTTCTGACTGCTATTTGCCATCTTCTTTCTTGAATACATCACATGCATTTTTAATAAATATCTACTATGTGAATTAGTAGTAAGCAGAAGTGTTCACTGGGGCCTCACATTTCATCAGACTCAGTGAGTCCTTCCAATTGACTCTCATTTCCTCTCTCATCTCTCTCCCTCTGGTGATTGGGTTGGACAGGGTCTGGTACATACCAGGCAAATGCCCTACTCCAGATATCCTCTTCCAAAAACTGAAAGCAATCCTAAAATGAGATTCTTGTGAAAGACAGGAAACCAGGGTAGGAATTGAAGTACGTTTTCCTGGCCAGGTGTACAAATTTTCTTTACTTATTCTGCTATATCCTAAGAAAATTGGAACAGAGGAGTCTATTCTTGCTCACTGCTATATTTCTCCAGAATGGAGTCAGTCAGGAATGAAGTGAAAACTCAGTAAGTAGATGTTGAATGACTTTTTTTTTTTTTGCTTTATCTGCTTTTCAGACAAATGCATGTTGTTACTCAGCCCACCTCTAATGTTATCCATGTCAACACATGTTTTCATTTTCAGAGTTTTAGTTTTAGAGGGAATGGAGATAGTCACAAATAGAGCTAACATTAGGGAACATTTTTAGTTTTGGTTCTCAAAGCTTTGTAGTTGGGCTCCTTAGATGGCATTGGTTTTGGGCACTGCCTAAGTATCCTGAGGCTACAACAAAAAATTCTATAAACTTCATGGCTTAAAACAACATAATTGTAGCTCAGTGGAAGAGTACTTGCCTAGCATATAAAAAGCCCTAGCTAAGTTCCTACCTCTGCACAAACAAACAAAACAAGAAAATAAGAATTTTTTCTCACAGTTTCAGAGACCAGAATATCTGACGTCTAGGTGTCAGCATGATTGTCCCTTCTGGAGATGCAAGACAACATCAGTCTGTGTCTTTCTCTTAGCTTCCCTTGTTCTACGACTCACAGACATGACGCTCCAATATTATTCTTCACATAGCCCTTTCTCTGTATATGTAGTGTTGTCTAAATCTTCTTTTCCTTATAATAATACTGGTCACTGGTCTAGTAATAATGCTAATCCAGCATGACCTCATTGTAACATACAAAGACCCCTGTTCCCAAAAAAAAAAAGGAATGTTCACAGTTTCCAGTAATTAGGATTTGACATTTTTTAGGAGTGGTCACAATTCATCTACGATCATCATTAACTGCTAAATTAGATGATTCAGACCTCCTCAATTCATATGTGTAAAGAATGAGCTGAGCCTTCCTCATCCCACTCATAATATTCTTAATGGAAGAAGGGAAGGTGTACATCCACAAAGTGACAGTATGGAAGGCCCCAAGCTTCACCTTTAGCACAGTGCACTATCCCTTTCTGCTGTGATGAATAATGCTTTCTGTCCTTCTAGTTTCAAAACTGCATCTTACAGCTCTTTGGAAAGAAGGTTGATGATAGCTCTGAACTTTCCAGTGCCTCCAAAACAGAAGTTTCATCTATGTCTTCGGTATCACCTGCATGAAGTCTGTCTCCAACCTGTCCCAGCTACCAAAGCTTTGGCCATGTCTTACCTCCCTTCTCCTCCATCCTCGTGAAATAAATATAATTTCCCCATTGCCCAAATCAAAAAAATTCCCAGATATATCTACTACATTGGGGTTATGCAAGATCTGGAGACAGTACAATGTAGACAAAGAGACCAGAACATATGATTTTTTTTCTTTAATCCAATTCTCATGTTTATAGATATTTTAAAAAATCATAGAAAACGAGAAGAAGGAAGTTGGCATCTGCATACTTCTCACTGGGCTTGCAGTTACAGAATTAAAGTGAGAGTAAAGAAATAGTTTTCTAGGGAGAGCTTACTACATTCTCTCAACATCTGGAAGGAGGGATGAAATGAACAAATTCAGGTGAGTAGCACTGCTTGCCCCTCAGTGTCCATCTAATGGAGGCTTACCGCCCTTGAAGTCTGGTCTCCACTTCAAGGAGAACAAGGCCTGCCAGTCCATGATGGAAATAATATTCTGCTTTTGCCAGGCTACAGTTCCAAAGCCAATAAGCACAAATACAGTGAACATGTGTAGGTAAGAGTTGAGCAGGGGCAAGGGGCAAGAACAAAAAGTAGAGATCAAGACCAAGAGGGTAGTGGTCAGGGTGAGAAGCAGGTTTATGAATCCGAACAAAAAGTCCTTGGATAGGGTTCCAAGGCTGGCCATCTTCTCTAGTTGAGTATCTTTCTGTAGAGTTTCTAGCAGGGTTATTCTGCTCTTGAAAGTGTCTATTACATCCTGTAGGCAACAAACACATATACTCACCAGAAGTCAGAAAAGAAATGTACTTATTTAATTTAGTAATTTATTTGCTTAGGGGTGCTCAAGAAGTGCTGTTGAGATGAATCTTTTGTTTTTGTGGATTTTTTTCCCCCTTCACTTTACAGTCCCTGCTGGCCTGAAACTTGTTATATAGACCAGGCTGTTCTCAAACTCACAGTGTTCTGCCTGCCTCTGCCTCCCAAGCCTTGGGGTTAAAGATGTGTGCCACCATACCTGATGAGTTGACTCTTTTAGGAGAGATAGGGAGAACTTCTAGGACATGCACAGCAGAGACAGATAGTTGTTGTAGAGTGTTGAGTTGATGAGTCCAGGTCCCTATCTACTGCTGAGACTGAGGACCTAGGTGAGAAAGGGCTAGTCAGGAACAGAAGTATGAGCTATGGGTATGGAAAGGACTGAGGGGCAGGAAGATAGACCCAAAGAAGAAGTTCCCAGAGGCTTTCCCTCTAGCAATGAAGACGCCCCAGCATCCCTTGGTATTTTCAGGCCTTACCCCTGAGCTATAGGTTCAGTGATTGTCCCTACAGGATGAGAAGCGCAATCCAAAGTTCCCAAAGCACTGTGTCTGCATGATGAGGAGTGGAGCTCATGCAGGCATGCAGGGTGGACACTGCTGACTTTAAAGTAAAGGTAGAGGTTACTACTGTACCAACAGGTCAGGCATAGCTGGAAGATCCTCTTATGCCTTAGCTTGGGAGCATCCAAATGCATTTATTCATCCCCAATGCCTTCTTCCCTTTTTCCCTGAGGCCCTCACCCATATTTCCTTGGCTCTTTCATAGGACAAGTAGACGATTTTTTTCTTCGGTGCATGCCAGATACTGTCTGAGGTAGCAAATCTCATCCAGGTATCTCTGCAAGTATCCATTCGCCTGTTCTTCCATCAGTAATTGTCTAGGAAGCAAGAGATAAAGCAACACTCCCTCAGTACCTTACTCAGAGCTCATGCTGGTAGCAAGATTTACTAACTGCAGCTAGATTTACTAACAACCCCCCCCCCCCCGCGCGCACCACCTACAATTCAGTTGAAAGGGGCTGCCTCCTCTACCTCTGCCTGGCAATACTTACACTGATAGATAGTATTTACAATTACTGTCTAGTAACAATTTTACCAAATGTGCCATAGACTAGGAAGTACAGAAATAAAAATTTAAGCTGCTGTATAGGCTATCAAATCCCCCAAATATTCCCAGGAACAGTGTTGCGGATGCAGTAGGTACTCCATGAGAGCATCTTTATTATACAGCATGGGCAGTCACAAAAGACCACACTGAGTAAACTTCCATTTGTATGCAATCCATAAACCTGAATCAAATGAGTGAGCGCCGAGAGCTGGGAATCAGAGTGACAAGGAGAAACTGCTGCAGGGTTTATTTTTTTCAGGGATGATTTTTTTTTAATGTAAAATTAGATAGTAGATTAAGTCTGAATATACTAAAACTCCACTAAAATTTGTATGCTTTTGAGGTGAGAGAAACAGAATCTCACCCTGTAGTCCTAGCTAGCCTGGAACTTGTGATCCTCCTGTTCCTGTTCCTGCTCCTGCCTCCCGAGTGCTAGGACTGCAGGCATGTGCCACTATGCCAAGCTGAACTGTATACTTTAAATGAGTGAAATGAATGGGTTATGGATTATAACTCAATAAAATTATTTAAATAAAAACAAACATTGGATTTTATTAATGGTCACACAACTCAATAACCTTAACCATTGAAATGCAATCAAAATGATTCTTTTTATGACATGCAAATTAAATCTTGACACAGAAAGAAAATATACTACCTGTTATGTATACAAACATAAAAAGAAAGTATTATAGGCACCCCATTCCATTCCCACAGCTTAACCTCTATCCCCAGACACTTGTGGTCACCTGGGACAGACAGGTAAGACCTCCATGTGCCTGCTGGGTGCCCCTGGGCGAACACAACAGCAGAAGTTATGCCATCCACCCTGCCAGCTTCATCTCCCAGATCACAGCCATGCCTGCATTCCCAGAGGCCTGGGACCATCAGAGAGCACCAGGTAAAACTTGCTACCCACCCCTTCCAGTTGGTCCCCCTAAAACATTTCCAACAGAGGTAAATTGCATCTTCCACCAAAGCTCCATTTTCTGGCCCACAACTCGGCCTGCATTACCTAAGGTCTGCTAATACAAGACATAACCAGATAGTTAAAGGCTAGTATAAGAACACAAACAAGAGCCAGGTCAATATGGCACCACCAGAGCCCAGGTCTCATACTACAGAAAAACCAGAATATCTTAACACAGCTGAAGCACAAGAAAATGACCTTACATCCCATCTTATGAAGATGGCAGGGGCCTTTAAAGAAGAAACGAATAACCCCCCTAAAGAAATATAGGAAAATACAATCAAACAGGTAGACGCCTTTAAAGAAGAAACACCATTAAATAGATGAAAGAAATGAACAAAACCATCCAAGAACTGAAAATGAAAGTAGAAGCAGTAACGAAAACACAATCTGAGGTAATCCTGGAGATGGAAAACCTAGGGAAGAGAACAGGAATTACAGACACAAGCATACAAGAATATAAGAGATGGAAGAGAGAATCTCAGAAGTAGAAGATACAATAGAAAAATGAATACAACACTCAAAGAAAATGTTAAATCTAAAATATTCATGACACAAAACATCCAGGTAATCTGGGATAATATGAAAAGACCTAACTACGAATAATAGAAAGAGAAAAAAGAATCCCAGCTCCAAGAACCAGAAAATATTTTCAACAAAACCATGGAAGAAAATGTCCCCAACCTAAAGAAAGAGCTGCCTATAAACATATAAGGAGCATATAGAACAACAATTATATTGAACCAAAAAGTAAAATCATCCCTTCACATAATAATCAAAACACTAAATGTACAGAATAAAGAAAGAATATTAAAAGCTGAAAAGGAAAATGGCCAAGTAACTTATAAAGACAGACCTATCAGAATTACTCCTGACTTCTCTGCAGAGACTCTAAAAGCTAGAAGGGCCTGGACAGATGTCTTGCAACCTCTAAGACACCTCAGGTGCCAGCCTAGACTACTATACCCGCAAAACTCTCAATCACCATAGATGGAGAAAACAAGATATACCAAGAAAAAAAACTAAACAGTATCTATCCACAAATCCAGCCCTACAGAAAATACTAGAAAGAAAACTCCGTCCCAAGGGAGGGTAACTACATCCAAGAAAACATAGGAAATAATTCCATACCAGCAAAAACAAAAGAAGGGAAGAAGCAAACACACACACTAACACGACCAACATTAAAATAAAAGGAACTAACAACCACTGGTGATTAACATCTCTCAACATCAACAAACTCAACTCTCCTATAAAAAGACACAGGCTTCTTTGCGACCACTTCCTCTTCTTAGGACTGCCTTGCCTTACTCATTCTTGATGTGACTTGATGTACAGGGGAGGGTTGATATGGAAAGGATGGGGCTCCCTGTTTCTGGAAGGAAAGGGAGAACAGAAATGGGGAGGAGGTGGGAAAGAGGTAGGGGACTGCCCTTAGGATATAAAGTAAATAAACTGAAATAATTTTTTAAAAAAGACAGGCTAACAGAATGGTGTGAAAACAAGATCCATCAATCTGCTGCATACAAGAAACAGACCTCAGCAACAAAGATAGACATTACCTCAGAGTAAAGGGCTGGAAAAAAGTTTCCTAAACAAACAGACAAAAGAAGCATCCTGGAGTAGCCATTCATGTATCTAATGAAATAGGCTTTCAACCAAAATTAATCAAAAGTGATGGGAAAGGACACTTTATACTCATCAAAATTTTGTCTCAATTCTGAACATCTATGCCCCAAATGCAAGGGTACCAAAATTAGTAAAACAAACATCACTAAAGATTAAATCACACACCAAACCCCACACATTAATAGTAAAAGACTTCAATACCCCATCTTTCACCAATGGACAGATTATCAAGACAGAAACTAAACAGAAAAATAATGAAACTGGTGGACATTGTGAATCAAATGGATCTAACAGGTATCTACAGAACAAAACACAAAAGAATATACCTTCTCAGCACCTCATGAAACCTTCTCCAAAACCGCCCACATAGTTGGGTACAAAGCAAGCCTCAACATTTACAGGCAAACTGAAATAACATGTTTTATTCTATCAGACAACCATGGGTTAAAGCTAGAGTTCAACAACAAAAGAAACAGCAGAAAGCCTACAAAATCATGGAAACTGAACAACTCTCAAAGACAACTGGGTCAGGGAGGAAATAAAGAAGTTAAAAATTTTCTAGAATTTAATGAAAATGAAGGCACAACATACCCATATTTATGGGACATAATGAAAACAGTGCTAAGGGGAAAAGTTCATGGCACTAAGTGCTTTCATGAATAAACTGAACATATCTCATACTAGCTATTTAAAAGCATACCTGAAAGCTCTAGAACAAAAAGAAGCAAACACACTCAAGAGGGGTAGATGGCAGAAAATAATCAAACTTAGGGCTATAATTCAATAAATTAGAAACAAAGAGTATAATACAAAGAATTAATAAAACCAAGGCCTAGTTTTTTGAGAAAATCAACAAGATAGACAAACGATTAGCCAAACAATTTAAAAGGCAAAGGGGAGTATAGTTCTTACTTCAAAAACCTGTACACCATAAAATTGGAAAACCTACATGAAATGGATGATTGGGTGTGGTGAGACAGGGTTCCTCTGTGCGGCTCTGTCTCTCCTGGATTCCATCTGTAGATCAAATTGGCCTTGAATTCACAAAGATCCACCTGCCTCTGCCTCCTGAGTGCTTGGATTAAAGGCATAAACCACTATGCCTGGCTCTGATTTTCGTGATAGATACCACTTACAAAAGTTAAATCAAAATCAGGTAAACAATTTAAACAGACCTATAGCACCTAAGAAAATAGAAGCAGTCATTAAAAGTCTCCCAATGGAAAAAAAAAGTAAGGAAAAAGAAGAAAAAAAAAAAAAGCCCTAGGCCAGTTTTCGTGAAGAACACTTTCTTTTTTTCTTTATACGTTTTTTAATTTTAAAGTTTTTTTAATTTTTATTTTTTAATATTAATCACAGGTTATTTGATTTGTATCCCTGCCATAGCCCCCTCCCTCATCTCCTCCCGGTCCCTTTCCAAGTCCACTGCTAGGGGAGGTCCTCCTCCATTTCCATCTGACCCTAGCTTATCAGGTCTCATCAGGACTGGCTTCAGTGTCCTCCTCTGTGGCCTATCAAGGCTGTTCCTCCCTCAGGGGCAGGGCGAGGTAAAGGAGCCAGTCCTTGAGTTCATGTCAGAAATAGTTCCTGTTCCCCTTACTAGGGAAACCCACTTGGATACTGAGCTACCATGGGCTTCATCCGAGCAGGGGTTCTAGGTTATATCCATACATGGTCCTTGACTATAGAAACAGTCTCATAGAGGACCCCCGTACCCTGATATATTTTGTCCTTATGGAGCTCCTGTCCTCTCCCAGTCATATTACCTCCCCCTTTTATCATATGATTCCCTGCACTCTCCCGAAGGTTTGGTTATAAGTCTCAGCATCTGCTTTGACACACTGCATGTCATGGTGAAAGAGGTTGCAGAAAGATTGATTGTAAGAGCCTGAGAACTAAGACACGTGCTTCAAAATAGTCAGAAGAAGAAGGAGAAGGAGGAGAAGAAGAAGAAGACAATGACACAAAGTGTTTGGGGAGTGCACCTAGTAATAGATGTGAAGAGTAATAAGGAATAAATATAATTAAGATACATGAACACTGGGCATGGTGGCATATGCCTGTAATCCCAGCACTCAGGAGGCAGAGGTAAGTGGATCTCTGCAAGCTTGAGGCCAGTATGGTCTACAGAGTTCCAGGAAAGCCAGGAAAGTTCCAGAGAAACCCTGTCT